AAAAGAGCAGCTGTTTAATTTTTCATGATTCTGTTTGTTACTCACATGTCTGCATTCAGCTAGTCGGTCTGTTGGGACGGTCTCAGCTCAGCTGGGGTGGCTGGGACTTCTGGGCCTCTCCATGTGCTCTTTCATCATCAAGGAAGCCTGACTGAACTGCTTTCCATTTCGACTCAGTAGCTTTCCAAGAGGGTGAGAGTGCAAACTGCAGGGGCTCATAAGGCTTAGCTTTGGACGTCATATAGCATCCCTTCTGCTCTATTATTCTGGTCAAAGCAAGTCCCAAGGCCTGCCCAGATTCAAGAGGGAGGGAAATGGATGCCACCTGTTGATGGGAAGAGCAGCAAAGTCACATTGCAAAGAAGCGTGGACACAGGGAGCTGTGATTCATTGGTGGCTTTTTTTTTTTTTTTGCTGTACGCGGGCCTCTCACTGTCGCGGCCTCTCCCGTTGCGGAGCACAGGCTCCGGACGCGCAGGCTCAGCGGCCATGGCTCATGGGCCCAGCCGTTCCGCGGCATGTGGGATCTTCCCGGACCGGGGCACGAACCCATGTCCCCTGCATCGGCAGGCGGACTCTCAACCACTGCGCCACCAGGGAAGCCCCATTGGTGGCTATTTTTGTAACAATCTACCGCATAACCCACAGTGATCTGAAAGCTGAAAGGTGTCTTACTTTCGGCTTCAGTATTCTGTGAGTCTGAGTTGTTCTGTGGTCAGAATTAGAGCAAAAGATATTCCTAGGCTGTAGTAAGTATGGATATACTTGGACAAATCCTTCTTCTTCAGAATCATAGTTCTGAATATTCTTGAAGATCCCATGCTTAGGAACGTTCCTCTCATGAGAACTGTGAGGAAGAAATTGCATATGCATGATATGGAAAAGTCTGTGTAAGTATTACTGGTGTTCCGTTAAGGCAGAGCTCTGAAACCAGAATTTCAAGGGTGATGCAGAAAGACTGGCTCTTCAGTCCTCGGAGTGGCTGAGTGGGGCCTGAGGCTGCTGAAACACCTCGGCCAGCTATCGGGCCAGCTATGATTTTGATTTTCTCGCTGTGTTGAACAAATGTCCTCATTTTCTGTGTAAGCTATGGCATGAAAAAAGTGAGGCAGTATTGCCCTAAAGGATACAGCAGCGCTTTGGAAATGTGGTGGGATGAGGACAAATACTGTTTTCCTTATCAGTCAGTGTTCTTGGGTGCAAACAACAGAAACTTATTCTAGCTAATTTAACCCACACTTTAGTTGTCTGGGTCTGTCCATGTCAAATTTATTCCCAGATCAATGAACATTTGAAAGTATTTTCTACATCAGGCACTTGGGTTTTAAGTATACAAAGACAGTCTTCTGGATGGGAAACTTCTTCCATATGAATAATTTAAGATATTTGACATATTTTGTTTCTATCATACTGTAGTTAAAGGGGAGGATCTGTTTATCTCTGTTGACTGGTTAGGAATTGATTATTTGGTGACAGTCTTACCGAAGGGGTAATTATAATCACAAATTTATAGTCTTTCTTGATAATTACTTTAAATTACTTGTACAAATATTTTAATCCCTATTAGCTTAGAAAAATCTCCACTGGCCATTTATAGTATCACTTATTTCCTTGTACCCTTTTCTCCCTGTGGAAGTTGTTGCAGGCTTTTGAAAAAAATCCACATTGATCTAATATCCTATTTGTTTGTAGTTTTGTTATTAAAAATATCTGAATACAGGGTGACAGGTTGCCTTTAGGGTTTAGTTTTTTGGGCCTCTTGAGAAAGAGAAGTAAAGATGAGAAAGACCAGACCTAATAGAGGTTCTCACTTAGAGAAAGTGAATGGGAGAGGAAGAGATGCTTAAACAAACAAAAAGGCTCATGCCTACAGAGATTCAGAAATAGCCTTTAAGGTATTGTAAAAGCTGCCTCTTTCTGCCTTTCCCGGAATCTCACCTTTGATGGACTTTCTGGAGCGTTCCTTCTCCTCCTCTAGGCTGACCACTCATGAGTTCCTCTTAAACTGATCATCATTTGGGCAGTTGGGGTGTGCTGCTGAGAACAGGCCGTGTAACTCGACCTCAGGCTCTGAGTCATCGCTGCTTACAGAGGCTTTGAACTTTTATAGAATTCTTTGTCATATTTTGTTGGTGAGAGATCAGAATACATACTTGGACTGTTTTCAAGATAGCTGCAGATGTTTCTGAAGTATAGAGTGTGTTTAAATCTAATTTATGTAAGTTAGATTAGTTAGATGTCACATTCTGTTACTTGTGTGCTTGTTCATTTATGCAGTAAATGTCATTTAAAGACCTCAATTTATTTTTGTTTAAATGTGAATGCAGTGCGAAAAGGAATCTCTGTGTGTGTGTGTATTAGGTAGAAATATTTATTTTCAAAAGAACAGTTTGAGTACGTTTTAACTGTAGTGGGAAGGTTGCCTGGGAAGGTTAGCTACTGTCCTGTCAAATTGGACTTTTGAAGAGAGGGCCAGTTTTGGTGTTTTTCTTCGGATAGTTTTCACAGTGATTCTATATTCTGTTATTATCCTTAGTATTTGATCTTAGTCTTCTATCACTTTTCATCATATAGAGAACATGGGTGATGTACCAGGTAGTTTCAGACACACACACACGTGGCAGGTGGTGTTCATAAGCATTGAGCTCATTCAGATTTATGATTGCAAAGGTCCTTCACTCAATTGTATCTCCAGACACTTTGCTGTATAAAGTAACATTCATAGCTTCTGGTACTTTGGGGGCCACCTTTTCAGTCCACTACAGTCTGCCTTCTGGCCCCCATGTAGTCACATCTGCCCCACATGCAAAGTACATTCACTCTCCTCCATCATCCCCAGAAGTCTTAACTCATTACATCGTCAGCTCAAATCCAGACCTCATCTAGACATCATCAGTTCACCAGTCCTAAATCTCATCATCAAAAGCATCTAAATCAGGTATGGGGTGAGACTCTTGAGTATGATCCACTGTGACACAAAATTCTTCTCCATCTATGAACCTAGTAACTAGAAGATGAGTTATCTGCTTCCAAAATACAGTGGTGGGTCAGGCATTGGGTAACAGTGATGGAGATTCCCATTCAAAAAGGGAGAAAACTGAAGGTTCAGAGGAGTGAGCAAGCAGTCCCAAGCAATTTCAGAATCTAGCAGGGCCTGCGAATAGTCCTCTGCCTTTAAGTATTTCTTAAAGGCAAATTTCCAAGAAGTGAAAGAACATATTCATTTGAAGCTTCTTGTATATTGCTGAACCTCTCACCAGAGGTTACTTTTCTACCAGCAGTGTATTTTGCTAGTGATTCTTTTACCTGGTCACTCTGATCACCATGTTATCATTTAAAAAAAAATAAATGTATGTGTACAAAATAAAACCTCTAAACTTTCCCAATTTCACATGAACCAAAATTTTAACTGTTTTTGGTGTTACGAGTACCTTTCATAATTTTTTCTCAATTTTGCTTAATTTTTCATACCCTTGCCAATTTTTCTATTTTTTCTTCATTTGTGTGATGTTTTTATATATTTAGAATTTCTGATTTTGTATTACAAGGATTTTCCCAAGTTTTCGTTTAATTTTTTAAAGGTTTTTTGGTAAATACAGAGTTTGCTTTTTTAATACAGTCAAATCTGCCATTTTTTGTGGAGTACCTTTTGCATGTATAGTTTGAATGTCCTTTCTCTACTTGCAGTCAAGTAAAAATTATTTAAAAAAAATTTGGAACCCAAAAGGGCAACTTATGAGGAAAATTCATGTTGTACTATAGTTATGTCTGACAGTGAGCTTCTTAGGAACTGCCGTTATCCTGTAGAAAGGCCCATCCCTGAGAGCTGATCCAGCTCTTGTCCTGCAGTCCTGTCTGACTAGCATGGCACGCTCAGCCTTCACGTCTCGTGAAAGCACTGGGCTGAACAGGTTGAGCCCTCTAATCCATTTTCTGAATCCACTGAGGTGGGAAGGTGCTTGGATGGCAGAGATGTTGTTGGAATAGGTATTGATTGATATATGTATAATGAAGTGCAAAGAGTGAGTGCTAGGAAAAGTATCCTTAATATGTACATGAAACCAAGGTGTACTAAAAATGTGGGAAAACCCAACTCTGTTACAAAATTTCCATATAGTAGGCCCCTGCATTAATGATTTTGTAAGATTTATTGACATAGAAAAAAATATGGTCAGTGACTAGAGCATATTACAAAACAGTATTGTGGTCCAATTTTAATTGTAGAGGAAAAGATAATGTCTCTATGTATAGAAAATAGTGTGCATTAGATAATGATTATTTTGGGGTAACTGGACTTTCAAGTGTATATACAAGTTTTTAAAACCCTATATATTTATAGGTGTATATATAATATTTTATACATTTTTGTTTCTTTATCTTTTCTGAATTTTCTGGCTTTTCTGTAGAGGACTTTTTTTTTTTTTTTGGTATAATATAAGGTATTGATACTTTCTCCCTTCCCGTACCAAAGAAATTGCCTCCCCAAAAATGATTATTTGGTATACCTGTGTTATTAACTTGAAGTTGACTGGACCATAATGCTTTTAGGCCATCATGATTGCAGAATGCTTCATATTCTTCACTCAGTTGTTTATATTACATTCGAGGGAAAATGATTTTTATTAAACTAAGGAAGTAAAATGTAACACTGGAAAGATGCTAATATTTTAGTATTTTTCAATGTATCTGCTGAGGGGAATGATTTTTATTGTGGTGTTTTTACTTACAAAAGCCTTAGCATCTCTGAACGATGTAAACTGGAAGCACTGAGCATTGTTTTCTGTTGTTTTGGAGATAATGAGTGATTTGTGGTTAGTAACAACTTTAGATCATTTTTATTTACTTTTTCTTAATTCTGAGCAATTCTTTGCCACCTTTCAAAATATTAATTATATGTTAAAGCAAAATTTTCTGCCTTTTGGAGTGAATTTCTTTTGCCCTCAGAATCCTACCTGTTTTATAGTACTTGAAACTTTTACTTTTTATTTGTTATTTCTTAGGTAAACGCAAAGCACTGAAGTTGAATTTTGCAAATCCACCTTTCAAATCTACAGCAAGGTTTACTCTGAATCCCAATCCTGCAGGAGTTCAAAACCCACACATGTGAGTATTCCTGGTAATCAAATAAAAGGCTCAGCTCAAGCGAGGGTTTTAAAGTTATTGTGTTTTATGAATTTTTTCAAGTCGAGGGGTTGGTATTTCTGTTATCCTCTGGGCCATTTGAAATATTACTGTTTGAACTCAAATAGAAAGCTGTTGATTCTGTAGTCTGAAGTAGGCAAACACAATTTTCCTTTTTAAAGTTGACTTGAAGGGAAAGGAAGAGCTGAAGATCCAGTTACATTTATATCGTTTTAGTTTCTCTCTTATTGAACTCTGAGAATATTATTTTTACCTCTCCTTCTGAATTTCCAGTTAAGTTGTAAGTAGTATTTAAGAAAACTTAACTCTCTCCTGTAGATCTGCACAAATCATCCCCACTTACTAGTTGACAAAATAGATTTCCATTCTTAATATACTGAGTGTCTATAAGATTTCCATGTCATAGTAGATTGAAAGAATATGTACGTGTCAGTGATTTTTTTAAAAATTGACTCCCTTAATATTTTTAAATTAAAAAATAGAAATGATATTGTAGCATTTTACTGAAGAGTATTAGAAATATATTAGTTAATTTAAAACAATCTCGCCATAATAATATTTTACAGAAGCCTTTGAATCAAAGTGAAGTGAAGTATTAAATAATAATGTTTTCTTCTTCTCAAACCTGGCAAGAACATGAAGGGTCAAAGCCAGTGGATTTACATTTCTACTAATGTCCAGAAAAATAATTTTCACCTAGTTCTAATATTGAGAACTATAAAGCAAGTGGTGGAAGGTATGGTTTAAAAAGCTGTCAGAATCCATTATTTTATAGTTTTGTAATAATTCCTCAACAATCTGTATTCAAACTTTATTAGACTACAGATACATTTATTCTTCCCAAAGAGGCACATTTATTGCTGTTTGACATTTGGTATACATTGTATTTGCAAACAGTAACACATTGGTAGAAGGTAGACTGTCTAGCAGTAGGAATGTTGAAAATATTTTATTTTTAAAACATCAGTGTCTAGAAGAAAGCAGCAGATACGTGTGTCTGTACGCTCTTATGCTTACACCTATCACCTAAAGGGGAATGAAAGAGATTTTCAATGAAAACTGAGTGGCAGTTTATTTGCCTGGGAGTGGTGTCTGTCAGCTTTATTAGACTGCTGTCCACAATGAGACTTCTTGTCAGAGCTCAACCTTGTTACCTTCTCTGAATCATATTGAGGAAGGAAACTCTTAGTACTGCTTAATTAGTCAGAGCTCCAGCAGCAAGGAAACACTGTTAAAAGAACCTCCTTCCTCATTTCCTAGAATTTCTAGTGAAAGCTAGTACAAAAGAACTTAAAAGAACCTTAAAAGAACCTCCTTCCTCATTTCCTAGAATTTCTAGTGAAAGCTAGTACAAAACTAATTCTTGAACATATTCCATTTCTGTTGCCTTGGTTGCCAGCTGAACTACAAATTTGAAGTCTAAAAAAGAAGGATATGTAGTAATCGCCAAACTTAACAAATCTTTCTTTCTTTCTTTTTTTAAAAGCCCCCTTGGACAAAGAGAAAGACAACCTGATTTGCATTTAGAACTAGAAAAACATTTACATATTTGTACTCTCTCCCCATTAGACTTTCTTCATGTCTAGGGGAATTCATGGACAGAATCTTTTTTTTTTAAACAGTAAACAGGGTGGTGAAGAAAAAGCTTTCTTCCAAAATTTGAGTCTATCAGGCTTTTTTTGGTTTTTCTTTCTTTCTTTTTTTAAACTACTTCATAATAATCCTGTAACCAGCTAGGTTTCTTATTTATCTCTTCCCAGAAGGTGTTAAAAGTTTGAGAGGACACAGTAATAGGCATCTTTGTGATAGAATCTTTGGAATTTGATTCTAGTATGTAAAAGTTTTAGACCCTGCCTTTGAGTTTTATTATTGCACTCGTCTGTTATCTGGATCAGGAACAGGCAACTACTAGTATTGATACTCATCAGAGACAGTTGTTTCCCTGCTTTGGGCAGCATATCTTCTCTACCTTCCCACTGCCTTCCACAGGGATCCTCTGTATTCTTCCTGTGTATTGAATACTATCAGGCACTAAAAACCACTGTTGATCCCTGCTTAGGATAAGTTTGCAATTAGAAGATATAACTTGCAGTAGGTGGAGGCTTTGAAAAAGATACCTCTATGCCATTTATATGTGTTTCCTTCTTTTAAAATTTCCTTGCATTCAGTTCTTCTTGAACTTTAGTTATAGATATAAATATAAAACTTTTTAAATGAGTTTAGGAAAAGATAAGATGAAATATAAGTAACTAATGAAGTTATGTCCCAGGGACTAGTTTCAGATCCATCTGACATTTGATGTCTACTGGGTGCAGGATTCTGTGGACGATTAAAAAAAAAAAAGGATTAAGACAGTGTCCTTATTTTCTGAGAAATAGCAGTTTAAATAAACTTTCAAGAAGACAGAAATTCAAGAAGTAAGGCATAAGGTAATACAGATCAAAAGTCAAATGAATGGTGCAGGAGGGGTAAGAGCACTTCAGATAAACAACTTGGTGAAAAGTTTCACAAAGGAACAAGGTTTGAACTGGATTTTGAAAGCCCCCTAGAGGAGGTTGGTTAGGTGGAGAGAGGGGAGAATGGCATTCTGGTGAGTGTCAGCGCACGCTAAATTTGGGGACCATGTGTAGATCTGTTTCACTGTAGTGGAGATGTTAGTTATAGATTACCTATTTCTCTCTCACTTTCAGCATTTTGCCTTTATTCTTGGTGTTCTATAATTATGTGAGAATATGCTTAGGTTTGGATCATCTTTCTGTGTACCGGATGAATTGTTTTAGTTTGAAGAGTCACAAATCTTTTTCTGAGAGTTTCTGCTGCTTTTCTTTTGATAGATTCCTTCATGTTTTTCCTATTCTCTCTTCCGGAAATGTGTGTTATTTGGTTTTGGTATCTCTGAATTCTCTCGGTCTTTGACTTTTATATTTTCTATCTCTTTGTTTTCTTGCTTTATATTCTAGGAGATTTCCTTTATTTCCTGACCCTTCTATAGAATATTCTGTTTTGGGAATTGATTTTTTATTTCTAAGAGTTGATTCTGGCTTTTTCTTAGTATCCTACTCTTAATTTGTGGATGTAAAGTCTGGAATTTAAAAATTCTTTTCTATACTTTAGGTAATCTATTTCCTCAAGGGTCACTTTTTCTTTTGTCTTTGTCTTTCTCCTTTGTGTCAGCTTTTTTCCACATGTCTAGTAGTTCTTGGTTGTCCATTGATAGTTGAGGATGAGGAAATTAGAAGACTTATTGGAAGCTCTGGTTAGAGGCAGCCAACTGGTGGGCTTGACTTGACTTTTCTCTGAATGGTTTGAGTGCTGGCTGTTAGGCCAGGAATACTCTAGATGCCATAATGAGTAGGCCAATATTTGCCTTAGTAGGCATTGTTTTTTCCAGATAGCATGTTTGTTTTCTTTAGAGACATGCTCTCTTTTCATTTTGGGGCAGGTGGAAAGGAAAGGAGGAGCTGAGTAAACCTTTCTTCTGGAAAGAATTTTAATCGCTCTTCCATTTCCAGGCTTTTATACTTTCCAGCTATGAATCCTCTCTAAGGTTCTGTTGGGACCATTACCTATCTCTCGTCTCGGCGGCATGCTCCCCTCCCACCATGTGTTATGGGTGCTAGTTTTCTCTATTGCTAGTTTTTTTAACCCCTTATTATGGAAGGTTGCAAATATATCCAAAACTGGAGAGTGGTAGCTGAATCTCTATTATTTATCAGTCAGCTTTAGCAGCTTCCACAGTTAATATGGCCAATATTATTTTTGTCTATTCCTCTACCCTCCTTAGTTTTTTTTTTTTTTTTTGTCGGTACGCGGGCCTCTCACTGTTGTGGCCTCTCCCGTTGCGGAGCACAGATTCCGGATGCGCAGGCTCAGTGACCATGGCTCACGGGCCTAGCCGCTCCGCGGCATGTGGGATCTTCCCGGACCGGGGCACGAACCCATGTCCCCTGCATCGGCAGGCAGACTCTCAACCACTGCGCCGCCAGGGAAGCCCAACCCTCCTTAGTTTTAACCAAACCTCAGACATATTATTCCATCTATAAATATTTCAGGATGTGTTTCTAAAAGACAAGGACTCCTTTTTAAAAACACAATCATAATATTATCATTATATCTAGCAGGATAAATGATTCTTTAATATCATCAAATAAGTATTATAGATTACTTCATCACTTTTTTTTTTCAAGTTTGAAGCAGGAACTAAACAAGGTTTTACACTGCACTTGGCTGACAAGTTTTTGAAACTACTGTAGAGTCCCTTCCCTTGGAATTTATTAGTTTTGCTTTGTCTAGATATTTTTGTCTGCTTTCAGGTGTTCAGAAATTTGTCTAAATCTCTGTTTCTTTATTGTTTATTTCCTTTAAAAAATCATTCTTTTCATTTGGGTCCTTAGAGAGTCAGGAGACAACCTGGTTTTTAATTGGTTTTTAATTATCATTGGTTAAAATTATAAGTATTTCCAACACATGAAAAAGTGAGTGTTAGAGACTCTTGTATCTGCTACCTAGATGTAAGAGATGTTAGCATTTTGCCATTTGGCTCTTTAAATGAAAGATTAAGCTGTAAAACTAAAGAGTGCAAGGAAAGACGAAAGGAAAAAAATGTTTGGCTACTTTTGACATTTCCATCAGGATTGGATTATGCTAGGCACTATATGTCTTTTTGATACCCCAAGGGTATTCTTATAAATGTGGCAGGCTTGTGCTAAAATCATGTTATGTATATAAAATCTGACATGAACAGAAGTAGATAGTCCACTGCTGTGTTCTGTGCTTTCATCATGCTGAGTGATGTGCAAGTGCTCTCAGTGTGCTGAATCATTTAGAATGCACCAAATATGATTGTTATTCTGAAAGAACAGCCCTTTTATCTTCACAACGTATCAGGATTGTACAAGAAGAACCACCAGCTTAAAAGCTAACATTGGAAATAAATAATGATGAGTAAACATACATTTGGG